AAATTTGTTGTCATCCCGGGTCAGGCCAACATGGTAGCTGACACCCTCAGTTAGGAAAAGTAACTCAAGTCGTAAGAGTCAAAACATTGACTACGACCATCCATTCACGCCTGATCCCACAAATTAAGCATCTCAGTAGGGGGCCAAGAAACCTGGAAAGTTGTGACTGGTTAAACTCTGAGAAGAATGGATGGGGAAATTAGAGGTTCTGAGTGACAAATTCTTATGCCCTCTAGATTTAATCTGGATAGAGAAACTCAGTAACATCGGAAGATTAGCTGCAAGGGATGCCCGCACTACCCAAGCACTTCGTTCATCCAGATACAGACGAGAAATGCCTAGGTCGGAAAGAGTTGTGATAGTGCCTCGCCATGTGAGAAAGTTACCATCACCCTATAGATGATAGTCTGCATCCACCAAAGTTAATACTAGGATGCACAGAACCGCATGATTTCTTCTGCAACCAGGAATACTAGAGTAAAGTAGGCAGCAAGTTGCGTTAAGCTTTATAACCTAGGTCATAAAGAGATTGTGGACTCGACACCAGTCTAGGAGTTAGTCGACAAGTTATACAAGATCACACGCTCCCTAAAAACTTGAGGAAGCAGACACGATGGAAAAACTAATGGAGCATGTCCTAGAGATTGCTAGACTACTAGGTGTTCCAAGGAATACTATTTCTAAAGAGATAGTAGAACCACCTCCTGAAATAGTCAATCACTTCAGAAAATCTCTAAGGGCGAAGCTAGCCCTGATCAGAGACTGCTATCCATGAAACATCGAACCAAGTGAGAGAATGATTCTTTCCGATTAGGGATCATGCTGTGAAAGCATCTATTAGACGATGATGAAAATTGGAATTATCTAAGCATCATATGGTAAAACCCTCTATCATACTGACGTTGAGATATTCCGTTAGAAACACCTCATGAGTCAGAAGTGCAGGTGCGTTCTGCACCGGGCTGGGGTAAATGCCACGCAACCAATAGATGCCATCGTATAGTCAGCACCTTCAATGATCCGGAAAACGTCCGAAAGCCAACCAGTAGGAAATACGAATCTGAAGACGACCTGAGCCTCCTAAGAACCAATCAAAAGGACTACACCTCCAGTAAGAGAAAACTTTTGGAACTTCAGAATGGCGATCAAGCCAAGTGATGATCTCACCATGGAAGTACATTATGTTCTAGGTACTGAAACGTTCTATTTTCCCAAGAACTTAGGATCAACAGAGATTCTTGATAAGAATTGGTCCAGCATCCGTCAAGACCTCAACTACATTAGGGATCCCATAAATTCCACCCTAATCTATCCACGTCTCAAACTTGAAAAAGTGCTTGTCCGACGAGACTCTTGAAATCCCATTCGACGAGATCGAAATCGATGAGAGCCTCAACTTCGTGGAAGAACCTGTAGAGATCATGGACCGAGAGGCCAAGCGAACAAAGCAAAGCCGTATCCCGATAGTGAAGGTTCGCTGGAATGCCAAGCGAGGACCTGAATTCACTTGGGAGCGAGAGGATCAGATGAAACTGAAATATCCTCATCTTTTTGCTTAGTTAATTGTAACTACTTATTTGCTTAAACTCTAAATTTCGGGACGAAATTCGCTCTAACGGGGGGATGATGTGACAACTCGAAATTTCTATCTGGTACAACCATTCACCTCATTAAAAGTCAGATTTGTTTTTGCTAACTTTTAAGCTGTTTGGAGTCATTTTGAGTGTTCTAAAGCCTAATACTTCAAGAGCTAAATATAGAAAGTATACTTTAGAGTTTGTTGTGCATCATTTATGTCTTAAAACTCCAAGAGTTTGGAGTTTACGGCCCCAAACATGGAGTTTACGGCCGTAAACTCTAAAGAGTATAAATATGACACTTAGTCATTTTTGGCTCATTCTTCACCTTCCAAGCTCAAGAACACCCACATTCTCTCTCAAGTATCATAAGATCTTCTTCCAAATCTTTAAAAAATGTAAGTGTTTCTTCTCTTGATTTGTTGATACAACACTCCATCTAGTAGTTATACATGATTTCATCCATGAAATCTTCTTTTTTTCATAGATCTTCAAGTGTTCTTCATTTCACCAAGAACACCAAGAACACACACTAGTTTCTTGACCTTAAACACTCTTACAAGCTTCCTATAAGTAAGTACAAACCCTCTCTACTAGTTTGTGCTTAGATTACTTGTTAAACCATTGAAAACACCAAGAATCCCCAAGAACACATGGGTTTACGGCCAAGGCAATCTCCTTGGACCGTAAACACCATTAGGTGGTGCAGGTGTGCCACCATTACTTACTAGGGCTTGGATATTGGACTAGAACCTTGCATGCATGAGCTAAGGACCTTAAACCACGAAATGATAGGAGCTACCAGGGGTTTACGGCCGTAAACCCACTAGGGCCGTAAACCCTAGGCCGTAAACTCCATGGGAATTGGTCCTTAGGCCGTAAACACTAATAAGGGGGCCATTATGAGCCCTAGTCCCTTCTAGAGCCTTGGAAACAAGCCTAGATCACTTGCATGAGGAGTATAGGACCTTGAACATCAACATGGTAGAAGTTACCATGGGTTTACGGCTGCAAACCCTAGGCCGTAAACTCATGGAGAGTTTACTCTTGGACCGCAAACTCAAAAGCAAAGCCCTACAACCCTTAGATACAACCCTTTTGTACTTCTAACACTTGAATCAAAGTGTTTCCCATGTCCTAGGGTGTCTTTTCTTGCATAATTAGATGCTTAAACACTAATTAGATACGTATATGTGTCATTATATGTTACATAGGATCCGTGTGTGCTCAAGTCTTCACTTGACACTTAGCATCCTATCCGGCACTTTCATCCAAACCACTCACCACAGGTGAGTTCATACCCCTTAATCAACCTTTGAAATGATTTTAAATGCTTTTATGGGGGGGGGGATACAAGTTGAACTATTAAGTTATTATATCAATCACATGTGATTAATAACTATCAATCAAATAGATTTTTGCATGTTAAACTGTTTTATTCAGCTAAAGGTTTTCATATATTACCATCAAATCTCTTTTAATGTACTATAATCTCTTTTTAAATTACTAAACTTTTATCAAAGTCTTTTAAACTTATATTCTTGTTAGATTCATGTCTATATAGATATAGTTATATAAGTAGGGTTTGAAGGACTTAGGACTGATAGCCCGCTTTATTTCCTGTTCCTTGTTTGGTTGTGGACTTAGAGTATCCGGTTATTTGTCCGAGTGTCGTTGAAGTCCTAGTTATATATTATGTATATCTGTTTAGATATTAAAACTCTTACTCTAGTTCAGCGCCTTTGGGTAGCAAAGGTACCTAGATAACCTCTCAAGTAAACTATAATAGGTATAGTTTAGAAATCAACAATAACTTTTATGAGGAGAAACTAGCTATATCAATATTCTAAAACATGTACTTTTAGTAAAAAGAAACGTATATAGAAATCAAAACACGAGATACATCCTCATGACGTGGATTTCACCGTTGTCGAGTTGGTAACCAGAGTCTCCTGGAGGGAGAGCGGGCATTGTGTGTATAGATCTATACGGGATAGACCATCCCACATCCTGACTGCTAGCTACAGTCCCGGCCGACCAAGCCAAAGGGTGACAAATGTCACATATACTTCGACGCCAGCAGGTCGTCGTGTTTACATCCATCAATCAGTATGGTTATGAGTATTTTCACATTTACCTTATAATTCACGGCCTTAAGTTAAGTAGTACCACGGTAGTTCTTCATATAAAACTAAGGTACTATAATATTTTCCCTAATTCATTAACTTAGAACATTTTGATATAAAATGATAATGTAAAACTATATTATGATAATGATAGTAACATTTGGGAAAAATGCTCTTTTAAACATAAAACTGTCAAGTCTTGGTAGAAGACTGCTTTTAGTAAAGAAAATAATTCTCTTTAAACATAAAATAGTCGAGTCTTGGTAGAAGACTGCTTTTAGTAAAGAAACTCATTCTTTTAAAACATGAAACAGTCGAGTCTTGGTAGAAGACTGCTTTAAATAGAAAATATAGGATTTTCTGGAGGGAATTCAAATACTCTGTAAACTTTTATCACCATCATCTAATGAGATTATTTTGAGGAAAAACATGTATTTATATCAATGTCATTAAAATACTTTTGAACTCACCAGCATTAAAATGCTGATCCTCTCTTTCAAAATAACTTGTATTCTCAGGTCGCCAGTAGACATGTACACTCCGGGAGCTTTTGCGAAGTCAGCCTTGTACCGAGCTGCACCTTATGTTATTCTCTATATCTACTTTTGATGTTGTTGCTAAATGTAGCCTATGTAAAAACTTATACTATTAATGCAATGGTTGTTGTACTTTGATTACTATACTGCATGTGTTGTGATACTTGACATGACGTCCTCCACCCCAGAACGTTTCCACCATTCCGGTTTTGGGGTGTGACAGCTTTTGGTGCATAGCGATAGGCAAGGTACCCAAAAGTGGTCTCATCTGGGTGAAAACCTAACGTAGACATTATGTCAAGCACCTTGTGGGCGTGCATCAGTAACTGACCTAACAGAGAATGATTCGTGTTCATGGCGATACCCTCCAAAGTAGCTTTATGAGTAGACAAATTAAGTGTGTGATATATCAACCATTAGTTCTGATATTACATAAGAAAATGATAAATTAAGAGAAAGAAACCTAGGGTACATACATGGAGAAGAAGAGAATGATATTCAAACCTGGTGCCTCTTCCATTTTCGTTTCCTAATTTCCGATGCTTCCAATCTGACCATGAACCTCCGACTTCTAATCCCAAATCTGACCTTCAACCTTCGATTTCTGATCTTCAACCTCTAACTTGAGCCCTATAGTTTCGAAACCCCAGAACTGACCTTTCGAGCTTGACAACTTTTACGATTATTGCAAATCTATCGGCCTGGCAAGGACGTTGGAGTATCCAGAAGTTGCTAAGATTTCACAAAAGCCATTAGATATCATGGATAAGTTTATCAGAGAAAAATCTGGAACGAGTCAGTACCAGACGGAAGATGAATCAGAATCTAAGGAAGAAGAAGAAGAAGAAGCTAGGTCGTTGGAGCCGGAGAAGAAAGAAGGGAAACTGAGTCAGGATGATGTGTTGAACTTGGGAGACGGTGGTCAGATGGTGGAAGAGCATGCTGATAAAGTCAGATTAGCTTTCTATGATGGTGGTCCGACGAACCACCAGCCATCTCTACCTGGCGGTTTTAGTCCAGAGGTTCTCGATGATATGTACCAACAAGCAAGGCAAAACTCTGGGAACATAGCTGCCAGAAGTGCCAGTAGTGTCGCCGGATAGCCATCTAACCCGTTCTCAGCATCGTTCCGGTGGCAGCACCACCGTATGTGCAGATGTTAGTGGAGGATCAGATGATGTGGCAGCAATATCAAAAAATATGGATTGCAAGATCATAGGTAAACACACACACAGACACCTTTAAGTGAAGTAGGTTTGATACACAGTGTAGTGAAAAAGGTTATACATTTTTAAGCGCCTAAATCACAGTTGTTGATATCTGGAAATGGAAGCTCGGTTTGTTTCTTTATGGAAACCCTAATTGCATTCCAATTGTAACTAGGGTTTCCAGAGATCTTTCACTATCGGGAACAAAAAACCTTAAAATCATCGGCGTTTTGAGTGTGAGGAGTCATAGACCCCGAATCGCAGACTCCATGAGTTCAGCTCCCTGATTGCAGAATGCGTATGAGTCAATGAGTAAAGAAAATGCATAACACCAGTCCTTATAGTGTCTTACAACACTGAGATAAAGATTGGAAACATCAAAACAATCGTCGTCACGAGGCATTTGATCACAAAAGAAAGAGCAATTCTAATATGAAGACGAAGGCCCTAGGGCTTTTTCTTGCAAATTGGAAGATGCAGGGGGGGTTTAATTTTTGGGATCCAATAGGCGGGTGAAATCCCGCTTAAAACGTGTGTTTCATTAAAAAATTATAAAGCGACATATTTAGATGACGCACATTTTATGAAAGGCGCCCTCCGCATTTCCATTTTTTCTTTTCTGACACTAATTTTAGGGCACGCACAAATGCGTATCCTCTATCCTTCATATTTTGCAAAACTGACATTATTTTTTAGGGCACGCACAAATGCGTGTCCTCTATCAACACGTGTCATTGTTTGCGCGTCATTAAAGGGCTGTTTTCTAGGCTCACGGTGGTGGTTATGGTTCTAGTCCATTTTTGTCCAAGCATCCCAAAAGCAACTATACACAAGCAAAAGCACACCGCCACCCAACACGGCGACTGGTGGCGGCAGCCACCACCTCACAGTGCTGGTTATGAGTTTTCTTTTGATTATTCCGAAACCGATTACAATTTTACATGCAAAATCTCAAATAACACACACACACACACACTAAGATAAACACACACACAACCACCCTTGTGGTGGCCGGTGGTGGTAGAGGGTGGCAGCCACCACCTCACGGTGGTGGTGGTGGCTGTTCTCGGTTTTCCAGCCAAACAAACACCACATACATGAAATAATACACACACTACACGAACTTGAAACATCAGCACTCTCATACTCACGTGAAACATGAACACGACAGCCCTTCGGGGTGGCGACGATGACCGGAGCAAACAGAAACGAGCCATACGGTGGCGACGGTCGGGATTGAAAAGTGTCAACATGAGAACGGGAGAGGAAAAGCGACTCAGTCCGTCACTGAGAGCAGCGACCATGACAGCCATAAGTCGTTAACCGCAGCAACCGCGACGTCCGTTGTCGGCCCTCGTCTTGGTGGTTCCCAACTTCTACATCGGCGGCAATGAAACAGTCGTGAAGAGTGTCTTCGCCGGAAGCAAGGCCATGATGGCGTCTTAATGGTGAGGTAACAGGCGGCGTCGTTCGGGACTTCATCTGGTCGGAAAAACAAGAGGGACATCGGGGTGGTGTGGCGGCTGGTGAACCGAGTGGCGGCTGTTGCATATTAGGGTTAGGGTTAGGAGAAGGTGATGGGTTTATACCCGATCACATGTGATCTTTGGACATATTTCGCTTTCAGTCCCTCCCATCAAATTCCTTTCAACTTAAGCCCAAAACTTACACTTTAGCCCCTGCCTCCATAAAATCTTTTCAACTTTAATCCAATCTTTACTATTCAGCCCCCAGCTTCCAAAAATCTTTTCAACTTATGTCCAACATTTACTAAACAGCCCTCAACCTCCAAAATTCTTTACAAACTAATCCGAAAATTACATTTTAACCCCAACTTCTAAATTATGCCAGTTAACTCCTCGAAACCAACACCTTGCTGTATAATTATTTATTTTAGGGCTGCTATTTATTCATTAATTTGTTTATATATTTATTTATTAAACGGGGTGTTACACTTGATAAAATAAGTTAAATATGAATAAACAATCCAAATAGCAATTAATCCATAATCTCATAATTCATCAAATCATAAATGCAAAGCAAATGGTTTTAACACCCAAATCAGAAAGTAAACACATATGGAATGACATTGGAATGCTAATCATGATTAGAACAACAAACCAAATGATTTCTGGCATGAATCCGCTCTCTAATCCTTCAGATCTTCGCTCCATATCAGCTTAACGACCCTTTGGCCCCCTTCTATACCCTTAAAACGGCTTCTATGAGGTTTATAATCATAGGGAACGAAATAGTGTTCAAGATATGTCATTAGGGGTAGTTTTCAGCTCTATTTATAGCTTTTAGCGTCACCACGACGTGGTTGATAGCCACCACGTCGTAGTCTTCATGGATATCCCATATTCTCCAAGTCAGCTCAACGATCATGAAGTTTCCATTTACCACGTCGTGAGGAAAGGGTAAAATGGACTTTTACCCTGAGTATTGGACAATCAGGATATGATTCTAGCTATGGGTTGTGGACCAATTATTTATTTGGAATTATTTAATGTTGTTAGCACGAGGATCTTCCAGATCGGAAGTCCGAGCTTTTATCTGTGATATTCAGCAGCTTGAGGTGAATTTTCTCATTGTATCAATGGGTCGAAGGCACCAAGGCCAGCCCATTATTTGTGATATAGGATGCTAGCTATTTTTTTGATATGTGTATGAAAGACCAGGATTTGGCCCCTGATAATTGTATGAAAGACCATAATGTGGCCCCTGGCATCTATATGAAAGACCAGGATGTGGTGCCTTGCACCCATATGGAAGACCGGGATTTGGCCCTCGACAAGAATTTATTTGTAAGACTGGGATTTGGCCCTCGGCAGGAAATTATTTGTAAGACCGGGAATTGGCCCTCGGCAAGAAATTATTTGTAAGACTGATGTGAATTATGAGCATTTGATTTGGCATGCGGAATTAAAGAACATAAAGAACAAGGTGATTTGGGTGCTAAAAGATGTATTCGATTATAGTAAATGAGTATAAAAAGGAACTAGACCAGAACTTCATAAATATCTCACTCACCATTCACTATGAACTACATCTCTCAAGCACACCTCTACAAGTGGTATGCAACCCACTATATATAGAGGTGTTTACATGTCTCTCTCTCTCTCTCTCTATCTATCTATCTATCTACCTATCTATCTATCTTTCATGTCACAAGGCATCACTACCACATGCAAGTTCGTCTACAAGAGTCAAACCATTACAAAGTCATTCATGTATAACTTTGCACCCCCCCAACATTCTCCCCCTCAAAGTTAGGAATGGATGACCCGCTTCAATCTTTCAAAAATGAGCAACTTCACGAACCAAGCCTCAAGCGTGACACATGTAGAGATGAACTTCAAATCTTTAATTCTTTAATGACCTTCCAATTCAGGTTCTAGAGTGTGAGTCCTTACAAACCGAGCATCAAAAGGCAATTAGGATTATCCAAACCTCCACAAGATTACCCAAATTTGAGCATAAAAGCACACCCCAAAAATCTTCAATAAGTCCAAACCCATCATGAACTAATCACTTCTGAATCTCAAATCGAATCACTTTATAAACTTCAATTGTTCAAGGTCACTTTGGTCTTCAAGTCCGCGTAATATGAAAAATTCAACTTTTGAATTATCATATTTAATTCTCTCCCCCTTTATATAATCGAAAAATGATTATAAAACGAAAAATGAATGAGAAAGCTCTCAATTCAGAATTTTCTATACACAACTCCCCCTTAACACATGGCATAAACGTTTTGCATAAATCCAGAAAATCCAAAAAATATCTTAATTTTCGAATTCGTTCACCGACCGCCTTTGATGAATTTTCAAAAATTTTGGTAGAAACTGTCTATTTCGAAATTCTGCAGTGACTCGGTGCCCCCAAAAAGCAGTCTCAGATGCGAAACTTTACCCCAATTACGAAGCTGGGCATAAAGTGTTAATTCGCATTAACTGCAGGGACATGTTTCGAAAATATTCTCATTTCTCAGAATTTTCAGCCAAATGTCGAAAATGGGTAAATTGTGCCATTTCGTAGAAACTGTGGGGATTCGATATTAAAATTCAGCTTTTAACATCATTTTTGTTCCCATGTCGAAAGTGGGTGAAAAATGCCAATTCGTTGAAAGTTGAGGGATTAGAATCGACACTTTCTGTTTCTTCTTCACTGCATTCGCTATCAAGTTACATTATATCGAACTTCGCTATCAAACAACACTCGACCATATCGAAAGTCATTCGACATCCAAACTAAATTCACCAATAACGAAGGTACCTTCGACATCTTAAACCAAATCACAACCCATAGCAAATCTTTAAACCCAAAACATTCGTTCTCAAATGCGATCTCAATTCACAAATCAAACTTTCCATCCACAGATCGAAATCCCTATCCACACATCGAAGTGGCAAGGAGCGTTCGACATCAAATTCCATATGTGTCAAACTTCAATTGCGATTCCAAGACCCATTTTTGAACCTATCATTGCAACTCGTTCTGATTGCAATTTTCCATCGACCTTGATGTCGAATTCAATTCTTCTCTTTTTCTCTTTCGTTATCCAAACAATAGTAAAGATCACAAATCATCAGTCAATTGTGAGAATGACTATCCAATTTCGAAACCAGCAATTACGAGTCAAAACAAATACAGGTTGCGAGACATAGTCAATTGCAAGACCTTCGTTGTCAAAACTTCACCAGACAATTTGATCTCGACCATTCGACTGGTTGACAACCCACAATCGATAATCAAATCGATAACTCATAACGAACTTGAACATCCAATATCATGCAGCCTCCAATCAAAACTCCCTTATTTCGACATCAATTAGAAAGCATCTGATTTCCAAAACTCATCCTAGTATCGAACAAAAACCATGTCGTAGCCTT